CACCCCGCCACATCCCACGCAAGAGAACGATAATAATTTTGTTGGGGGGGAAAACCCAATTATAAATAAGGTTGGCCAAGGTTGAGAAACACTGGTCTAATTTATGGTAGCTGTATATATTTTATGTACAAATATATACACATAGATTTCTCTCATACAGAGTAATTCAGTGCACATTTACACAGAAGGAAGAAAGATAAAGCAGCCAAGCTTGGCTTTTAATGAAAAAGTCATGATAAAATGAGTAATCCTGATTTCAATGTGGCAAAAGTGTAATTAACATAATCAGGAACCAGCCCTAATAGCCTTGAAAGCAAAAGGAAATTAGAAGCTGATAAAGTTATGCTGTAGGGAGAGGTTTTATTTTAATCCTATCACGGCAAAAACAATGGGAGAGCCCTGACCTGTCCACCTAAATTTTGTCTAGGGGGCAGCCTCAATGAGGAAGCTTTGTTAACAAGGTGAGAAACAACAGGCATTCCACTCTATGCTAGTGGGCCCAGTTATCTCAACAGGTTCCATCCTCCTTAACAATGGAACTCCTAGCTTGGCTCTCTTGTTGCAAAGGCATGGCTTTTGTTTTACATTAGAAAAATACTTCTATTTTTAAAGGTAAAAATAGTGTTACCTTCATTTAACACCTATCTCACTTCCCCAAAACTTGTTCACAAATAAGATCCCTTAGATTTCCCACCTCTCAACTCCAAAGTGTATAAGAATCTCTGCCTTTCTATTCTTTGGGATCCCGCTTTCTCAATGCAGGCACCCAAGGATAATAAAGAGCTGGCAATTTCTCTTTGGTGCAAACTTCCACGATATGATACATATTCTGTATTCCATAATACATCTAAGGACACACAAACCTTACCTTTACTCAGGTCTCCATGAAGCTTGGCATAAGAGGGCTGTGCCTTAGAAAGCTTTTTAAATGAAGTGTCTAATTTAGGCACCCAAGCTTTTAAAAGCAACTATTTGATTCTCACCAGAACCAAAGGAAGTGACTGGCACTGAAACTAGATCACAAAACCGCACTTGAACATAAACAATCTGCACTGCCTTCTGTTTTCTGAAGGGTGCTGAATTCAGCATCGGTGCTGAATTTCCAAATAGGGAACTCGCGTGCACTTGTGTTAAGCTACAGTAGGTGGAAGGGCAGGGCAGTAATAATTTTTGAATCACAAGCAAGCATTGTTGCTGTCCTCATGTTTATTTTAAAAACATAGCATTGACAGTTAGCCATACTTTACATTAAGAACCTCCATAACAGGAACCAAGACTTAAATTATTAGTGTCCAGTCTGAAGTTCAGTTGCTAGAGAATTAGCTGCCTCAGAATCTGAATTTTTCACAAATATAAACAATCTTTCTTCTAATTCTGTAAGCAAAAACTGTCTTGTGGCTTCTCCGTTGCAAAGGCAGCTGCCCCATAGATGCTCAGGACCCTCCACTTGTAGATGGTAGCCATCAGGGGCATCAGTGAAGCTCTCTGGGGCTGAAGGCAAATCTCTCAATAGAAGCGAATGTGTGTAGCTCAGAGTTGAACTGTGGAGCCCTTGGGGTTCTCTGAGCTTGGCTGTTTTCTTAGCAGTCAGAAGACATGATGAAAACTCCTTAATCTCACAACACATGGACAAACTTAACCATAGTTTCAACTGGGAAACTGTCAGCATCTTAAATGCCCTTACACTGATTACCACCAGACATACAATCAAGCAGTAAACAATAACCTAATCAAGGAACTACCAGAAGGAAAAAATTAAACAGAACAAAACCCCCACCCCCACCAACACTGGCAGGGCATACCACAGTACATGAACAGAGAGCAAACCCCGTTCCACTCTAGCACTGAAGATGTTAGTTAGCCGGGTAACGAAACGTTTGCAAGAAAACAACCAAGCTCAGAGAACCCAAAGGACTCCGCAAATCTCTCAACAGCCCCCGTCCCTGTATTAGCCATCAGTAAAGGCCTAGCGGTTCCATTCGAGGGCATAGACCTATCCTGGTGCGTCCCTACACAAGCCGCTCTCGGGGGTGTAACAGCTTTTTAGGGCGAGCGCCGGCAAGTTCGATCAACACTAGGACTAATACAGGCCTGAGTTTTCTGTATCTTTTAACTGCCAACTTGAGGCCGCCCGAAGCATCAGACGCGGAGGCGGCGGCGACCTTCGCCCTCAAACCGCTTCCGCCTGCAGCTCCCCCCCCCTCCCCCCGTCG